AATATTGGTTTGGATCTATCTCGTCAAACCCACAATTTAGATTTTAAGTCTCAAAAATAGTACATCTAGACCATCCATTTTCAAGATTTTCATATATTTAATAGATTTGCTAGATTTGTACTATTTCAGAGTTTAAAATTTTATAATTAGAGAGAAAAGTAGATTCTCGCACCATCTCAAGAATTTTCAACAACCATTGTTTAGGTTGCAACCTTAGGCAAACCACACTCAATAAATAACATTTTCGTCGCATACCATTCTTTTGCCCTAATTGTCAATTCTAATAAAATCTCAACATCCTAAATTTAAAGGGAAAATGAATGAGCAATACTCACATGCCAAATAAAGAAAAGGGAAAATGAATGAGCAATACTCACATGCCAAATAAAGAGATGCTCATCAGCTCCGTCCAAAAAGACCCTACTCCCCAAAGAAAACCATTTTGCCCCTACGTGTTTGATATCCAAAACATTAGTCGAAGAGGACATCCGCGTAATATGGTTGTAGATGGCTTTTGGACAAGAAGAAGTCACATGGATGATTTCTTTTTAATTATTTTTATTTTTTTTATTTTTTTTTGGGGCAAATTCAACGGGAAACTACGGGGCCAAAAGTTGGGCCCCAATGGAACCCTGTATTTATTTTTTTTTTATTAAAACTTATAATTCATTCATACATACACATACATAGATGCATCTAACATCTCGCCCCAAATGTTTAAAGCAATGTATTTGCATACATGGGAATTTCAAGGGTGTGTTTCCGTGTATTAGTATACACTTATTTCATGAAAACATTGGAAAAAGTTTATATAAGATTGCCATCCTGGACTAAAGTAGGGTCCCACCTCATAAACCAGTCGAAGAAAGGTTATTCCAACACTGAAAACCAAAAATGATCACCTTGACCTCATCAATTATAAATTTTTTTTTTAAAAAAGTATTTGAAGCCCTAAAAATGATGCATCTTGTAACATATTGTCTGGAGCTTTAAATTTCATAACTAAGAGTGAAAACAATTTTTTACACCATCATAAAGTTTTCAACACTAAAGCTGTATTTTTTAGTCGGATTCAAAAGTATGGCTATGCTGGTGTATATGCACGCATGTATGTGTGCGGAAGGGTTCAAAAGCATGGCCATACGAGCCGTACTTTTTTCATAGGACCGCTACCTTGCATAATTTGTACTCTTGTGTGTATGTATGTGTGTATGTGTATGTATATATATGGTGATGTTATATCGTGCCTACCGACTCATATCTCTATATGCTAACCCTTCCAAATTCTATATTAGAGATGAGTTTCTAATTGAAATTTTGGGATTGCTATCATCATGACCTCCTTGTTTATGCTTGTGAAACAAGGCAATAAATTTTGATTTTTTAAGCTTAACCATAGTCCTTTTTTTTTTCTTGGCAATTCATATGAAATCGTAAAAAATCAGATCTGTGTTTTTGAGCTTTAATTTTTTATTTTGAGACCGATAGACTTACTATAATTAAAATGCATTTCGGGTTATAAAAGCCTTTGAAACGAGGGGAGACGCAGCAAAAACTTTTTCATACCTACATGTTAAGATTTATGGTAATAAATATGATTCAACCTTAAACAATCAAAGAAGCACCTCCAAACTCCTTGCTCGGAGATGCAATTCTGGTGTCAAAAATATTTGTGGCAGTATGAAAATCTATTTTTCTTCCTTAGACAAAATTTAATATGTATATATATTGAAGAAATAATAATTTTAAGTCCTAAAATTGTGTATTTTGTAGTATATTATCTTGACCATTTTTTTAAATTTTTTTTGTATTTATAGATCTGCTTGATCTATACAAATTTAGGAGATTTAAATTTAATAATTAAATGAGAAGATAGATTTTTAGACCATATTAAGGGTAGCGGGCACCAAAATTGCATATTTTAGCAAGATTTTTTAGATGTGCTGATTGTTAAAGTTATACAATCACTTACGGTTGTACTCTATACCAAATAAAAAATAAAAAAACAGCACATATACTTTTATTTAATTTCAAACTGATTGTTAAAGTTATACAAATCACTTAAGGTTGTATTCTATACCAAATACAAAATAAAAAACTAAAAAAACAACACATATACTTTTATTTAATTTCAAAATTTCCATCAAGTAATTGTAAGTTATAATAGTAGAAACTCTATACCAAATACAAAATAAAAAAATAAAAAAACAACACATATACTTTTATTTAATTTCAAAATTTCCATCAAGTAATTGTAAGTTATAATAGTAGAAAAAAAAGTAAAATGTGACATAGTTGAAAATATAATACAAACAACATTAAAAAAGGGTTGAAATCCTCTACCGTATCACCAAAGGGGTCAAAAATTACAAATTATGCTTAAAGATATATTTTAAAATTGAGCACTTATATATGTGCAATATATTTTTAAATTGAGCACATTTGTACTCCCACAGGAGCATACGATGTGTAGCAAAACACCTATTGAGAAAGATTATTTTAGTCGCAGGGAACTACATTTATTTTAGTCTAAATTTTGGGGAACTACATTTTGAGTTTTGTGACAATTAGATATATCTCTTCAAAAATTGGAAAGTTCAATAGAACTTGAGGGTTTTTTTTTCTTTTTTTTTAGTACATAGAGAATTTATTTTGAAATTTGTTTATTGAGATAAGTTTATAGGTTATAGAGATTACATCCCCAAACTTTGATATCTAAAAAGTACTTCTAAATGGGTCATACCGAAGGGGTAAATGGATGACGTACTACTGTGGGAGTAAGAAATTATTTAGTTTTAAATTTGTATATCAATGAGGTATAAGAATAATTAGGGGCACTTCAACAATTTTACGCTTAAAGATGGTAAACTTGGTAACTTGGTTGGAAGTAGTGAGAAAAGATACATAGATTTATAGCCTCATAAAGAGTGTGAAATTTAATAGAGCAAAATGGTAGGACTACGAACGCCAATCAATTGGAAAATGGCTTTGACCATGAAGATGATAGTGCCATGGGAGGTAAAATTGTAAATTTTTTTTTTGCAAAATACTCACAAGTTCCCAATACCAAATGAGGACAATTTTAAAATTGGGAAATTACAACCCCTTCCCTCCCCCAAAATACACTATCTATGCAACTTACCTCATCTAAACCTTTTTTCTCACTTTTTTCCCAAAAGTATATTATCTATGCAAATACCCCCCAAAAAAAAAGTTTTTTTAAATAAAAATACCCTTCCCGTATAAAAAAAAATCAATTGACGCTGACTATCGGACCCAAGTAGCACATTGCCGGAGTGCAGTATGCAACTGCTGAAGCGCACTGTCTAGAACATATACCGCAGGAGCGCTGTCATCTCCAGAACATGCTTTGCTAGAGCGCATGTGTCTCGAGTGCCAGATTGATGTCTCTCGAGTGCCGGAGTGCCCTATGTAGGTGGTGAAACGTTGTAGCTCCAATGCATGTATTGCCGGAGCACCCTTTTGAGACTGCCAGAGCGCATTTGTTTCCAGAACGTGTATTGCCAGAGCACCTTCTGCTACTGCCGGAGTGCTGTGTCTTTAGTGCAGGAGCGTCCTCCAGAACGTGTATTGCCGGAGCACCTTCTACTACTGCTGGAGCGCTGTGTCTTTAGTGCAGGAGCGTCCTATGCAACTGCAGGAGCGCTGTGGCTTTAGGCATGTATTGCCAGAGCGCCATTTGAGACTGCCGAAGCGTATTTTCGTAAAAAAAAAGGGGTATTTTATATGGAAAAGGGTATTTTTGTCAAAAAATAATTTTTTTTGGTTGGGAGGTACTTACATAAAAAGTATATTTTTGGAAAAAAAATGAGATAAAAGGTTTGGATGAGGTCAGTTGCATAGATAGTGTATTTTGGAGGGTTTTTTGTAATTTTTTCTTAAAAATTTGCCATGTACAAAATTGAAAACCATACCATCAAATATAATTTATAAGTTTTCTTACTTTCTAATATAATTTATAATTTTTATTACTTTCTAGCAAGTAATAATATATGGAGATTCAACTATGTATTTTACTAAAATAAAATAAAAAATATATAAAATGAGACTATTGACCTTTATTGTAAGGTAGTCACGTTAATCTTGATCATTAGATGTGAATTAAGTGGCTACAATTATTTTATTAATCAAAATTAAACTTTAAAATAAAATTTTTCAAACTTCATAACATATCCAAACTATCAAATTTCATAACAAATAGTCTAAACTATCAAATTTCATAACAAATAGTTGTAAAGAATTGTGACCATTTTTTGATAAATGGTCTCATTCTATACATCTCTAAAAGGTGAAATAAGTGCATTTCATAATAAATGGTTGTAAAGAATTGTGACCATCTTTTGATAAATGGTCTCGTTCTATGCCGTCCCTGTAAAATAACTGCTGGTAAAACAGTGTCTCGCATTATAAATGCCCCGTTACAAATTCCATCGGGGTATTTTACGTCATTTCTCCCCATTTAACCACACTGGTGGGTTAAACCACAACCCTGGTTAAAAAGCAAGCATTACGTGGCTGCGGCAGCTGCGTATATAAGGGGATTATTTGGTGCTTCATCAATTTGCAGACACCTCAGTGCTCGAATAAACGTGAAAAAAGAAAGAACCATACCCTACTCTAAACCCTAATCGCCGGAAAATCTTGGAATTGTCAGTTTCGCCGGAATCCCCATCGCCTGAGCTCTAATCTGACCCTGATTTCGCCGGAATCAGTATAGTAACGGCTTTTATCCACTGGTTTTCCGGTTGGCTTGCCAGAAAGCCTCCATATCCAAGAAAACTCTTCTTTTTCCATGTTTCTGTGCACAGGCATCGATGATCGAAAAATATACATCATTTTGCCGGAAAATCCATGACACGAGCTTTATTCTGGCAATAATTGGCTGGAATCTGCCAACTATGCAGTTTTCCGGTGATCATTTCCGGTTTCTTTGACAGATGTCCCCTATAGCTTCTAATTCTTGTTATTTCTTGGTAATTTGTTTGATCTGGCTTTGATGATCGGAAAACTTGTATCAAAAGCTATAAATTGACACTAATATCAAATGATTCCGGCCGAAACAGTTTTCGAGACTAAGATTTCCGGTGTCCATGCCTGACCCAGTGATAAAATAGAATTTTGGTTTTTTTAAGGTTTTTATGTTTTTTTGGATAGATTCATTTATCTATAGGATCTAGCTTTGCTGATGGGAAATCGCATTTGAATTACCGATTTTTTTGTTAGTAATCTGATTTTTTACCCTTCTTAGTGTGGAGATAAGACTTTGGCTTTTGCTAAATCTGAATTTCTGATGAACTGGCGTATTTCTTGTGCAGTAGTCGCGAATGATTTCTGATTATCAAGAATAAAAAGAACTGCTTCGTTTAAATGCTCTGATTATCCAAAAACAGAGCCGATTATTCAAAGTCTATGGGTTTTCGCGAATTTTGCCGAAATTTATATATTTCTTTATTCGTGAATTTGTCTTCCGTTTTATCCGTTTATTTTTATAATTACTGTTATCTATCTCTAGGGCGACTTACTGTTATATGGTGTCCGCATTTTGCTGAGAGATTTGTATGCAATACTATTAAAATATTCACATAATTGTATCCTTTATCATACCCGTTTTGTTCGTGTTCTGAATGTGTTCTTTCTCCTCTTCTTCTTCATTTTGAGATTGTTACTTTGAAGCTTCTTATTTTGGTCATTCATACCCTTTTTTCTTTCTGCTTTTCTGTTTCTTTTCCATGTTGTGAGTAAGAAATTTTTGTTCCAATTTTGATTAATCTCTTTCTCTGTTCGTCTCTTTTACTGTTTTTGAGATCTTTTATGGGTTTCTACTTGCTGCAACCATGTCCTGCTCCGACATCAGAATGTGATTATGAGAATTAATTGGAAAACGATTTCAAAGGCTTTTAACAGAACGAAGTACCCAGATTTACTCAGAAAGAGAAAAGAAAGAATCACACTCCCATTTGACTTTCATAACGTCCATGTAGTACTAGTTACCCATAAATAACTTTCCTCCATATAGGAATATGGTAGCTTATTTCTGGCACATTGTGAAATTTGTGGTTTATTTCTTCATTGGGAGTAGAGCTGTTTGACCTAGAGTACTATCTGCAAATGTGGAGCTACTGTGGTTATCTTTTCTTTCAATTAGCAATAAAAGGGATTTTTTTTCTTTTTCATGTGTTGCATGTTGATCAATTTTTCTTCGTTTTACTATCCTTGTTATTTTAACCATTTTGAATTTATAGGCTACATATGCGGCTTCTCACTTTGGTTTCTTTGATCGTTTTGGTTGCTGTCTACATTCAAACAATCAACACAACCTGCATCAGTTCCTGAAGACGACACCGTTTTGTGACTAGGAAAAGTAAGCCAATAGAACAACACTTTGGTAACCCAATAGGCCAAAACCCTTATAGAGTTTCCTGTTCAAACCCCTAGAATGTTATAATACTACCTTCCCATTTTTATTTATATATATATTCATTTTTGTTTTTGGTCGGATGATGATTTTTATGTGAATTACAATTTATGATGATGATTTTTATGTGAATTACAATTTGGTGGCACCAAACTGAACACTGGCTAGCCAACCATTTTAATTTTCAATTTCTATATTTTAGGTAATTGGAGTTTGGCTTCTAAGCTCTTTTGTTAAGTTTGGGCACTGCAAAGGCAGCAGTGCCCATGGACGCCACAACAAGTGGAACCTTCTCCCAAACTCCAACCATACAGTACCATGGGATTCCAGACCAACCCCTCGCTCTTGTCTCTCAATTACAAATTTTCCAGCGTCAACAACGCCATTGTTATGGGGACTCTACCCCTGGAGAATTTCCCCTGTCAGCTAACCCCTCCATTGTTCTCCATGTTCTCACTGACTGTAACCTTGATCCTCAAGACCTTGCGAAACTAGAGGCAAGTACTCAAATTTTCATACAAATTCTATCCTTAATGATGGCCTTTGCATTGTAGAATTGATACTGCTTCTGATTCATAATTTGGGTTTTTGCAGGCTACTTGTTCATTCTTTAGGCAGCCTGCGAATTTCGCCCCCGATAATGAGCTGTCTATATCAGAGCTCGCTGCCTTCTTGATGTGTCGAGAAAGAGCCATATTTAAACCCATGACAGAGGAAGAGAGAGGGGCTTTAAAGAAGAGATGTGGGGGTTCATGGAAGTTGGTACTTAGGTTCTTGAAGATTGGTGAGGCGTGTTATAGGAGAGAGAAGTCTCAGGCCATCGCTGGGCCTGGTCACAGTGTGGCTGTGACATCGAAAGGCAGCGTATACTCTTTTGGGTCAAATAGCTCTGGGCAACTTGGCCATGGAACACTAGATGAGGAGTATCGGCCCCGCCTAATCAGGTCCTCTCACAGTGTCTCTGCTTGTTTCCTTCAGTTTCTCCAATTTTACAAATCTATCTCTTAGTCTCTGTAACTTCTGGGTGTGACTTTGCCTCTCTACTTAGTTTATTGCTTTGTTTGTAAGAGAACTGCTTATCATAATCCAGCACTAAGCCAATACAATGTTAAGCGTTCATCATAATTTTACATTGGCAAATAACACCTGCATTTTTGCTAAAGAGTATAATGCACTAAGCCAAGACAAAAGAGTATGATATATTAACTGAAAACAGAGTATGATACATGACAGAGTCTGCCACATAAACTGAAAGCACGGTATGGTACACCAACTTGAATGGATAGTGGCCTCATAACCAACTTAAATGGATATTACCCTCATAAGAGCATGCTACCCAAAAACAGCATATTGTACGTCAGCCCCATTGTATGTGAGGCGTTCCCCTTAAACACAAAAAGAGTATTATACCAAAAAAGAGATGTGTATACATGATAGAGCAAAGCCAAGAGTATAATACCCAAAACAGAGTCTGATGCCAAACTTAACTTAGCTTAAGTGTTAACATGAATGCTTTTAATGAACAGGTCACTGCAGGGTATTCGGATTATACAGGCTGCTGTGGGAGCTGGGAGAACAATGCTCATAAGCGACACAGGGCGAGTATATGCTTTTGGAAAAGATTCTTTTGGAGATGCAGAGTATGGGGTTCAAGGGACAAAGCATGTGACCGCCCCCCAATTGGTGGAGTCCTTGAAGGATACATTTGTTGTTCAGGCAGCCATTGGTAACTTCTTCACAGCTATTCTTTCACGAGAAGGCAAGGTATACACATTTTCATGGGGATCAGATGCTAAACTTGGGCACCAAACTGAGCCCAATGATGTGGAGCCCCACCCTTTGTTGGGGGCACTTGAGGATATCCCTGTTGTTCAAATTGCTGCAGGATTTTGCTACCTTCTATGTCTGGCTTGCCAAGCTGGTGTTATGTAAGTATTTGGAATTTCAAGTATTGCTTCTTCTGAGGGGGTGTAGATTATGAAATAAAGTTGAGAAAAGGAATTCTCAATTTGTATTAATTGGATTGCTTTCCATTCTCATAAGGGTAAGGCATGCTGCTGTGCAATGGCGATTGATTATAGAAAACATAGGCCATCTTTCCATCCGCGTCCATTGGGCCATGATCCAAGTGGATCCTCTCCCTATTGAGAAAGGATAGGATTGACGTTTTCTTTATTTCTTATAGATGGTTTTTCGATTGGAATCTTTTCCGGCTAGAACCTTGCAATCATGTATAACAGTGTCAACCCTTTTAATTTGATAATTGAGAGACCAAGAACAGCAGATCACAACTCTTGAAAAGCGTGTGTCCTATATGGCCTTTGCCTGACATCTGATTTTCCATTGGGCGAATATAGGGTTTTAACCTTTTAGTTTACCTGTCAAATAAGCCTACCTATACCTACATCCTTAAACAAATCAGGAGTGTAAAATGAAAGGATTTCAAAGTATAAGCATAACGTCAGAAATCTAGTACCTCACAGTACCACTGTATGTATCTGTCTACTCAATGAAAACCATTTGTGCTCGCTAACTTTCACTCTTGGTGTATCACAGGTCGGTTTACTCAGTGGGTTGTGGCTTAGGGGGAAAGCTTGGACATGGGTCTCGCACTGATGAAAAGCAGCCACGTTTGATCGAACACTTCCAAACTTTAAGGCTCCAACCCAAGGTTGTGGCAGCAGGTGCTTGGCATGCAGCTGTGGTGGGTTATGATGGGAGAGTATGCACATGGGGATGGGGGCGCTATGGATGCTTAGGCCATGGAAATGAAGATTGTGAAGCCACCCCAAAAGTGGTCGAAGCCCTTAGTGGAGTCAAAGCAGTTCATGTGGCTACTGGTGACTACACGACCTTTGTGGTCTCTGATAATGGAGATGTTTACTCTTTTGGATGCGGAGAATCATCGAGCCTTGGCCACTCAACTACTGCAGATCCCCAGGTTTGTTTTATTTATATTTTTTTTTCTTGTATGATCTTTCTGAAGGGAGAGTATGCTGAAGATTGATGGTCTATTTTGGCCTATGGTACTCCTAGACTATAACCGGTTGAAATCAAGTGTCCTGATGGATTCTGACTGTCCAATGTGGGAACATGGATGTGGCCTTAGAGTACCATAGAACAAAGTTCAGGACTATGGTTAGTTGCCTGTTCTAAGAATTCATAATGCGTTGTTCCTTTTTTTATGGACGAATTATTTGTCCTTCTCTTACAAGTCGTTAGGAATGTGAAGGGTTTGTTAGGTTTTTGGTGCAGGAAAGTTACCCAAGTGCAAGCATTTAGGCTAGTATATTCACCCAAAAAAAAGCATTTAGGTCCATTAGCATATACTGATGGAATAAAGCATTGAGGTTCATTAGCACATACTGATGGAATAAACTATAGTGCTGCATGTTTCTGAATCACAGAAAACTCTCAGAAACTATCTTGAGATTTTGAAAAACACCTGGTTTTTTTGAAATTGGTGAGGTCTTCCTCCTTTTTATTTCAGAGTCCTGAAATTTTTCTGGAGACAGTCTTGTAACTATAAATAATTAGGTATGGCTGATGCAAATAATTATATATAGGTGATGCAAATCATGAGAAAAGTATAAGCATGTGGAAAGTTGTTAAATTCTAAAAAATATAGAATTAAAAGCATGTTTCATATATTTTTACCCTTCAGAATTTTGTTTTTATGAGACTTTTTTCCGCCTTTTTTTAAGAAATTTGTTTTATGAGACTTTTTCTGACCTTTCTAAGTTCCCTAATTTTTCTCATGATATCCAAAGAAAACCAAAATTTTGATAGTATTCCAATAAATTTCCTTCCTTAGATGTTTACAAGATTGAGATTTGCCGCTTAGGAACATAATAATCTCATAATCACATTGAAACTTGGGTTCAAAAGGTTTAGACCAGATTTGCAAATATATGCTAGAATAGTTACTCAGCCTTCGCATTCACTATCGCTTACATAACAATTGATGGTAGAAAGCTAGAATTAACCTATCAAGTGAATATCCATTACCTTAAATTACAATTCTCCACCATCCTCACTGGATATTAGATATTCGAGCTGTATGCCATATGCCGTAGATGAGTTGTGTATGGTATACATTCTCAAATCTCCGCCATCCTATATCTCTCTCTCAATGATTTTCTTATAGGTCCTTGTTTACTCATCTTCTCAGGGCAACAGGCACGCAAATTTTCTGTCCCCAGAGCTAGTTACCTCGCTTAAGTATCCGAATGAGAGGGTGGTTCAGATAAGCCTCACTAATTCTATCTATTGGAATGCTCATACATTTGCTCTCACAGATAAAGGGAACCTCTATGCTTTTGGTTCTGGCGATAAAGGCCAGCTTGGAACTGAGCTCGTTGCTCACCAAAGCGAGCGTGCAAATCCTGAGCGCATTGATATCGACCTCAGTTAGCGTGTCATTGATCTCGCTCGCTACCCATTCAAAGCCGTTGTTGATTCTCTCTCTCTCTTCCCCCCTTTTCAGTTACGATTTCTCTCACTTTCAATTCTCTTTGCATAAAATCTTTCAGTCTTCTAATGCTTTCATATTCTTGTCTATTTGTACATATGAAATGGAACACTCAGAAAACAAAAAGATAACAGGGCACAAGGGCAGGGCCCATGTGTAGCCTCGTTATGGTTATCATCGCACCAGAACATGCAAAGGGTGGCTGACTGGTTTGGAAGCCTCAAGGTATTGTGGCTGATTTGAAGCTTTTGGCAGTGGTATCTTATTTATATGTCCTTAATTTTATTCTTTGTTTCTATGTTTTCCTGTTTACACACAATTCTGGAACCATACCCTCTCTCTTGAATTCTCTAGTGTTCCATCAAACCAGGCTTTAAATTGTGTCTGCAATCGTGTTTTTGCATATCCATCAACCGTACGTTAGCATATACCTGCAGATATGGAAAGAGTGGGCTTTGGTGTGGGGATATATATATAGGGAAATGATACGATGCAAAGGTTGTTTCGTAGTATAATGCAATTACATCTTTAGAAAACCATATTTTTGGCATTTGTATGATCCTAAATTTTACATACACATTCTCTTCATCTTCATAATCAATCCTATCAAAACAATTTTCAATTTGCATTTTAGATATGGTCAAAATTAGTCCCCATCCAACAATGAATCTCGACCCTCCATTTGGTGAAATTCAAGATTTAGGTTTTAACAAATTCAAAATCACTATTTTCTTTTTTAGTGTTATTAATTTAATGATGATAATGCTATATAAATATTTTGAGAATAAATAAATTCTTTTGAAGCCTATATTTAACCATCGCAATAAAATAGACGGTATATATTAATCAGGTTAGAATGAAAACTTTTTAGAGCACTATTTTGTAATATTTTTTTTTTTTCAGAATGAGAAGAGTATACATTGAAAGATCTTTGTCAAACAAATGTCTTTAACATGGGTGTATTATACTACT